ATCGAAAAATCTTGAGGATGTTAAAAGATTTAATTTTCTGATAAATTTTGCAGGGGGCATCAACCACCTGTTATGTGGCATTGCGCCCGGAGTTGAAGGGCGTTAGCGGTAAATACTTTTCGGACAACAACTTGGCGGATGCGAGTGAAAAAGCTGCCGACAAAGATTTGGCTCGGAAATTATGGGAATTTAGCCTGGACTTGACTAAGAAGTAAATCTTTCTGCTATATCAATTTCGAAAAAAAACTAGACTTTCAGAAATAGTTTTTCTTAAATTTTTTGAACTTTATCATTCTTCGAATTTATGATATGGGAGGAATTTCAACGAGAGGATTTGAGTGAAATGCTTTAAATCGATAATGGGAGACTCGTTTAATTTAATTGGACTTGTTTCTTTTGACAGTTAAGCTTTTGAATCTCGGATTTTAAGTCTCTCTCGTTTGATCTCGTCAAATGCAAATCCATCAATTTGAATACGCTCTTACGGTGCATTCGGATCAAAGGATTTCAAATGAGTTAAAACGGGAAATGTTTAAAACGAGAGTTAGAATCCACCACAATTTCTCAGAACAATAACTGAAAATGAGAGCTTGAAACAAAGATCCTTATCAATAAACCCAACCAACACGAGCTCAATGAATTTTGTTATTATCGATTTAATATATGACCGTCAAATATAAAGCCAGCTCAGCGTTTTTTTTTTCATATGCAGCACAGCACAGTTCTGAAAAAACTCGAAATCTTGAAAAAGAAGAGAGATAGATACAGAGGTTTATGATTTGTGAACTTCGAAAGTAAAAATCTCGATTAATTTCGTCGGTTTCCTGTACAGCATTTGCATATCGTATATAGCATAAATAGAGTAGTAACAACACATTATATATCCAGGGTTACCTTTTTTTTTCTTCCTTCTCTGCAAATAGGCCAAAGTACATTTTTTTTTCTCAGACCAAAAGATTTCGTGATGGCTATACAATTAGCTACAATCCGCAGACCAATTAACCTCATCTTATTTAAAGATGTTGTCATCTTTCCCGACCAATCGTTCACTTTTCGTACGAGGTGTAATAGGCCGTTCGGGTGAGAGTATTGTCAAAATATTCAAACTCCTGCTCGATTTAGGCATCACCAACTAATAAAACGACGGGTGATGTTAGCACGGTGTGGAATGAAAAAAATCCTCCGCGACGAAGAACACAGTTTATACCCCGGTCATGCGGCGGTAGGCCAATGCAGACGAAGGGGATAAATCAAGAGACTGGTTCAACTTAACGGGGTCCATCATAAGCTGCTGAGACACACGATCGGCCAAAACCGACTGCCCGTCGTAAAGCTCCCCTGTACCAGCAGCAGCGGCTCTCACAAACTGCTTTCCGAGAGCATCATTATCGTAGGATGTCAGTTCTCGAAAAGCGTGGGATCGGAGGATGTCGGGGTCCCAGTAAGAGGGGCTCGGTGGGCGCACCTGTAGGCTAACAAAACCCTCTTGTGATGATAGAGTGGGCTGATTGTGAAATGGAATCGTGCCTATGCCGCCAGAGAGAGGTGTGGATGAGCCGGAGGTTGTGCGGGGGCTTGATATAGGTGAAGGTGACATTCTGCCGCTTAGGTGTTGAGGAGATCTTGGATGTAGGAGAGGACTTCCGATTGGAGAGACCGGACACGATATGTTTCTTGAGATATACATGTCACTGGAATGTGGAGAAACCGGAGAGCAAAGGTTAGTGAATATCGTAAATATTTTAAAATGATACTAACACGTTCATTTTCAATCAATTACTTCAATTTTGGCATCTTTTTTTCATGGGGAAACGGGAATACGAGGGGGAGAGAGAGAGAGAGAGAGAGAGAGAGAGAGAGAGAGAGAGAGAGAGAGAGAGAGAGAGAGAGAGAGAGAGAGAGAGAGAGAGACCTGGAATGAAAATTAGATTTTGATATTCTAGATGAGTGGATAGCGAGTCTCTCTGCATCCGGTTGCTGAAGAATTCTGGTACCGATGCCCTACAAGCAACGAATAAACCTGATTATTAGTAAATGATACATGGGGAGTAGTAGCCTAAGAATATCTCAAATGGAAAGAAGAAAAATTACCACAGATTTCACAGCATTTGTCACTGCAGGATGATCGGAGGATGTAGAACTGAGCATCTGTTTCTCCAAAGGTGCAGCACTTTTCACAAAAGGGTGTTCCAAAAGTTGAGCAGCTGTGGGACGATGTAGAGGATTCCGCTGCAAACATAGCCTAACAAATTCTTTTCCTTCATCTGAGAGGTGCTCCGGAATTGTTGGAAGTTCTTTACTGTTTCCAATCTTGAACATAGCGGCAACCTTTAAGCCCAGACAAAAAAGCATCAGATACCCATAAAATACACTAGACTGCGAAACATTTAACAAATACACTCAAATTTATATTCAGAGAAGCCAAAATACGAACCCCTTCATACTGGCTCCAAGGTGGTTTTGATGTAGCCATTTCTAAGACGGTGCATCCAAGACTCCATACATCAACAGCTAGACTACATCCATTTGAATTCCTTATAACCTAATTATAGTACAGAAGATATATAGTTATGCAGGTTGGGGGAAAGCTTTTTTAGAAGAACCGGTTTTCCGGGATAAACAAAAAACAACTAACCTCAGGTGCCATCCAGTATGGACTACCCTTAAACGATAACGGACAAGACTGACCTGCAATCTGTGATACCATAAAATATTAAAATAATTAACCCAAAATAAGATATTAAACCCAGGATATATCGCTAGATTAACTCTGACCAGTCATCTTATAAATTGTATTCCCTCCCTTTTTCATATCTTCAATATTCTTAACAATTTGAATACTTTCGATCAGAGAAGTTCACACTTACATGCTTTGCCATCCCAAAGTCTGCCAACTTAACACGGCCATTTGGGTCCACGAGTATATTGGCCCCTTTAATATCCCTGCCATATATGTAAAGCATTGAGTGCAAGATGATAAATGTGCACTAACTATTAATTAATTTACACCGAGATTGTCACGGAAATTGACCAGAGTAAGGCAGCACATTACCTGTGGACAGTATTTTTAGCATGTAAAAATGCAAGCCCGGACAGAATTTGTTGAGTGTAACTGCGGATAGCTGATTCTCCTAGCTTTCCATATTCTTGTAAAATCTTATGGATTGAACCACCCGATACATATTCCAAATAAATATATAATTTATCACCCACCTGATGAAGGAACATAAATTTCGAATCAATTGGAGGTAAAGAAAAATGACAATGTACAACTTAGGATGAATAACATTGTCACGTGATGGTTTTTCCTAAGAAATATCACTAGGCAATAGTGTTTCCACAAATTTATTACTGGTCAAAGATATACTACGGGAACTGTTTCTAGTAAATCAACTCTGAGATTTATGAGCCACATGAAGAGTGGCATTTGGTGAACCTATGTTCGGAAAAGGGCATTAGAAAGTGTACACTCACTGCCACCTAGATACAGGAATAACAAGAAATTGATTCAGTAGGGGCTAACCGATTCAGATCCATAGTACTGCACAATATTAGGATGCCTCAAGCGACTCAACAGCACGATTTCCTGTAAGCAACAGAAATGATTGTATAAGATTTATTTCAAAGTATGCCTTCATAAATCTAATGGCTAAAAGACTCACTTGTCCCAACTGCTTTGCACTTTCCTTTGACTTTGCATCATCAGCAAATAACGTAACCTCCTTCATGGCACACATTTCACCGGTTTCACTAAAACCAACAGAACACCATCCATTAATAAGGAAACTTCAAAAATGAACAAATCAATTATTTGGGGTTATGCAAGATGCGTAGCACAAATGGATCGACAAATAGAAGTGGCACAGACTTATCATCTTCAGGAAATAAGAGCTTACTTAAGAAAATGACAATAAAAACGAAATGACACACATGCCACTCATATTAACATAGGAAATAAAGAGTTGCCAATCAGGTCTGGTACCTATTAAAGCCAACATAGACATGTCCAAATGTGCCTCGGCCGAGCAACTTCCCTTTTTTCCAACGTGAGCCAGGGCTTGAAAGATTCTCCGCTCTTCCAGGGCTACGTGGCACTGAAGGTGATGTCACAGCCGAATTTTGATGAGAGAAGGGCGAGGAATTGGAAATTGTTAAGGGAGGAAGAGGCAGACGATGACTTTGTTGTTTTGCATCATCAGGCCAGTTACTCTGTGATTCAGAATGCCCCCCTGCAGCTCTAGGATGAAGTGGTGTTACTGCACCACTATGAATTCTGGAACTCGGGCCAGGACTCGTCATTCTAGGACTAGGATTTGGCGAATATTCTGGGCTTCCTCTACTGGGTTGCCAAAATAACTGCCCAGACATATCTCCTCCCATTGAATTATGCCCAGAAGTCTGACCTGAGCCTGGACTGGAGCATTGACCAGATCCAAGAAACGGAAAGTCCGGATAAATCTTTCCAGCAGTAAAAGCAGTAGTAGAAACTTGCTCATAACCGGAGGCTCTCATTGGACTTCTGGAAGGACTAGACATAGAGCTATCTGGAGCACTACAAAAGGCACCATAATGTGGAACTTGTAAACTCGCCATTTGACCATTCAAAAGTCGTCTTCTAGGTGGTGAAGGGGAGATATTTTTACTGGAGGAGAGGTTCACTTGAACAGGCGACTCCCTTGAGATTAATGGTACAACAGGGGCCTGCTCTCTAAAAGAAATGCTTCAGAAGAGAAAACATGGGGTGTCATGTTAGTAACGCAGGTATCAAACCCTAAGCATAAATAAACCTAAATCAGAAGATTAAACTCATAAAACTGACAGCTGTGGTTATTCATATGTTTTTAGAACTCTACTCACTTTGAGGGGCTGCCGGCAGCTGTCCTACAGCCAATATCATAGTCATTTGCCAATGGGCTACGCTGACGTGAATCAGCTGGATCATCGCTCTCAATGGAACATTCACTAGAAATTGAAGCAACAGCCAAGTCTACGTCCAAGTCAGCAGGATCCAGTCTTTGACGGATGCATGCAGGCCTTGGAAGAGGCAGAAACAACGATGGTTTGGAGACCCTTTGCACTTTCGGTTTTGCCAATTCACTTATTCCAGAATCTGTACGACTGACATTATTAGCAGGTCGCAAGACTGGCACTGGAAGTGGTTGTGCTTGGGACCTTTCTGCAAAACTTTGACAACGCCCGACATGTTTGGAAGGTGATGGAGACCTTGATTGAACTCGTGACAAAGACCCTCTCTCCGAAACTGTGTCACTTGGACGTCTCTTAGACCCTCCTGATCTACTGACAGATTTACTTTCAGGACTCTTAATCTTCTTATGAAATGTGCCGAATAAACTTTCTTTGGTTGTCTTCTTTTTTGCTTCTTTCGATGATGACTTTCCCCACCATGAAGGCATATTTTTCTGAAACAGAAGATTTTGGAAAAAAAATGTGCTCTCAATAATAGATATGCTTGTCAAAACAAATGAAACTGTCATGTATAAACTTTCTTCAAGAAATCCTAAATGAAAACTTTTACATGCCAATATGCAGTGACCAGAGTACCGATGTTAAATCATTCCGTTTTTTTCATTCTATAAAACAAGGGCTCTAACCTTCATTATCATAAAAAAATTCACCCAACGAATACACCAGTGAATCCATTGAAAATCTATTCAACATCACAGTCTCTTTCACCATAAAAAATGAAAATAACATGAAAAAACGTAATCTGCATCTCTTCATTATATGTAAAACAATCATAACGAACTGCACCAATCTTGACAAAATTTTGCCAAAAGTACAAGCTTTTGGAATTAGAAATTTAGAGACCAACATGAAAAAATCCATTTGACACGACTTCGTGAGATTCTTTCTTCTGCTGCTGCTGCTTGTTCCTTGGTTAAAATAAGTGGTAAGAAAAATCAGTGCACTTAGACCAGTGAAATTCATTATCCTTGGATCGTGTAAAACTTCATCTTCAAATCAACGGAGCTAGCAAAAGTATTAACTCACTCAAACACAAAAAAGAAAAAGAGGAATCTTTTAACCCTATTCATAAACACAACCACAAAAATTCCTCAATTTTTTTTCCAAATAAAACTTTAACAATTCAATCAACTGATACCACTGATCTCCAAATAAACACGCACAACAATGAAATGCAATCTCTACTCTCTCCCGTACAAAATCACAGCTCCTCACTACAGATCTAACCATAGCTCACAAAATTTCTCCCAAAAAAACAACAACTATATAATCAAAAAAAACTAATCACAGTAAACTAACCAAAAAAAAAAAAAAAACTTACTCAAAAAAACCTCGCCTCAACTTCTCAGCTTCTCACATCCCACGAGCAAAGCAACAGCTCACTTATTCCGCAGAATCAATCGAATATTTGGGCGTTCGGTCTCCAACAAATCCCTAACGCCCAAAATGCTTAGAAACTACGCTGCAATGATTCAAAGGTGCGTGCCCCGTGTGTGTAATTCGGATTGCCAAAAGAGATCGCTTAGAGAGAGAAAGGGGAAGATGAAGAGAGAGAAAGTGAAAATGGAGCGAGTGCGCAGAAATGGAGTTGTCTCAGTGAAGAATTTAATAATAACAGGCAATTATTGCAATTATTATTTGTCGTTAAAGAAAAAGGACACTGATTTAATGTAATTTTGGTGGAATAATTATAAATGGGATTCAATACTTTCTACTTTATTTTTTTTTAATATTTTTCTTTTTCTTTTATATGTATTTTTTTAATATTTAATTCGTCAAAAATTGAGTTTTACAATATTTATTTCGATTTAACGTGGTACTTGAAAGTGACGGCGAGGCTTATATAAGTGAATAATTTTCGGGTCTTTCAATGAAAAAAAAGAAATGAAAAATATTTTTATTAATTTAGTTTGATATTGAATTAAATGTTTGCATGGTTTATTACTTTATTGGTAATATATATAACTTTATTGGTATATATAGTAAATTAGATGACGAATTGTTGTCAATAAATCAGGACTAGGCGAGGTAACATATTTAGTTATTAGATTTGAAAGCAACATCCACATAGATCCGTTAAATGAGTGATAATTAATTATAGCAACTTTTATTTTTATGAATTAAAAGTTTTTGGACCATAAGATTTATTACATAAATTAAAAGTATTTAATTAATTTACAAATTAATTATTTATTCTGTACATAAATTCAAAAGATGTGTAATCAACTAATTTTTTTTTTGTTATTAATCTACTCAATTGAGTGTGGATTTATAAATAATTATATATACATAATCGATAAAATATACATTCTATTTATCAGTTTAATAAATTTAATCTGCAATAATGCAAGTACGTGCTATTAAAACCGGCAATTGAGTCGCACGTAACCAAAGGCCGATGGCTCGGCCCCATTATATTTGAGTCGAGCCTAATTTTTAGTGAGTCGGGTCGAGTTTAAGCCATTTTATTAACTCAATTTATTTATGAACCGAGTTCGAGCCTACTATGGTTCAACCCGAATAAGGTCCGATCGATTAAGTTAATATAAATTTTATAATATATTTATTACTTCAATGATATGGCTTAATATACAAGTTATAACTGTATAAGATTATTTTTTTTTGCAAAAAGTAAAAAAATAGAAGAAATTAAGAGGTGGTGGTGACAATAGGTAAAATAGGAATTAAATGCAAGATGCTCCTTACCCAAACAGAGTTGCTGAAATTTATTGAGAATATAAAATGTATCCAATAATAAGAGATATTAATCTTGTAATACAAAATGCACAGACTTCACACTAAATTTCGGACTGTGAGAACATTTCCCCTCGGAGCAATCTTCGACGAGACTCAGTAATAAGTCAAGACACAACTGATCATCTGCCTCTAGTGAAAGTCACAGGAATATATGGGTTTTAATGATTAATGATGTACAATTATACTATACAAAAAATAGTAGTTTGAATTAAAAAAAATAAAAAAATAAAAAAATAAGAGTGATCAAATAATACTTGGGCTTATTAGAAAAAAATAGCTGCTTCTCGCCAGTGATAGTTAGAAGCCCAATAGAGAGTGGATCAAATAATGCTTGGGCCTTGCTCACTGCTCACTTGCCCATACCCTAACTACTAACTACTAATTAGTAACTAATTCAGCAAAACAATTCTCTCAAAAAAACAAAAGTAAGAAAAAACAAATAATAATAATAATAAATAAATAAAAAGAAACATAAACCAGCAGATTGAAGTGGGTTTTTTTTTTTTAATATATTTGTAAGAAATTTAAAATCTACATATATGATATGTAACATTAACATATAATATATATAATGGGTGCAGGTATGCTGATATTCCCAGTGTTTGTCTGACTTTATTCTCAGAAAAGATTGGTTTCTCAGAAGCATCTATCTGTTCATATCTTAATTAACAAACTTCTCCACTAGCAGTCAAATTTTACTGCTTCAGCAGGCAGCATCTCTCCAAGGGAGAAAAAGGATATGTAGAACTGAAATATTTTTACAATAAAATATAAAATAAAAGGGGAGTTCTTGTTTAAAATCTTACTTCTAAAATTGAAAAAAACTAAAAAAATCAAATCTTATTTTTTATATTTGATTAATTCAAGCCAACATGCAACTATGACAAGTATAAGCTCTCGTCTTTGTTAATCGGAACACCAAACGAGGCCTTAAGAAATCGTCAAGATTTAACAAAAATAATGAAAATAAAGAAAGGGGGGAAGTTCAATCTTAGTACCATCAACCAAGGCATTGTTTGTTTCTGAAGACTGTAAAGTAACAAAGAGAAGCAGCAGCACAGAAAAGCTATTTCTTTTTTTTCATAATAATACAAGTTAATAATAACTAATGACATCTATACGCGAAAACATTTCAACAGTATATATAAAAAATAAAAGATAAAAATAAAATTCTTGATAATGCTCTACACCATGCATCATTAAGGTAAAATCACCGATATACCTTTCGACTATGATCCAATTTACACGGCCGATCAACAAGCTTGCAAAAAAATCTCCATTTTTCCCAAAAAACCGTTCCGTGTTTGCACTTTGTATAAAGATCAGTAAAGTTCCCATCAAGTTTGAGGGTTTTTTTTCCTTTCGTTACCTTATTATCGAGAGAGATACAAATATTGTTGGCATCAGCTGGCTCCAGATTGCAGCATTGGAAAGAAACTCCAGCTGTTCCGAGGGCTTAACTCCTTCGTAACGCCGTTCTCATTAATCCACCACTCACAGTCGACACTTGATTTTTCTGACACTTCTTCTTCCTTTGCATTGTTGAAGTTGAAATCTTTGCTCGAACCAAACGAGATTGTACGGTGTTTCAGATCCAAGTCCTCTCCCTCCGAATCTAAAGGCACCCCACGAACTTCACTCACAGTTTCCTTTTTCGGATTATCCGAATTCTTTGTAATAAAATACTCCTCATTATTTGTGCCTCGTCTTATTTCCTCCCTTGGTTTTATGAACGCTTCTTTATCAGAAGGGGCTGGTTCTCTCACTGTACAAGTCGGAATATCTTCGCCGAACAGTTCAAACGAGACTCTATGATGATCAACTACAGCATCGTCGCTTTGAGATTTATTGTCCGAATTTGCAAGCGATGCCACTTCGTAAATTTGATTTTCAAGAATGCTACTACTGTCTCTAGATGGAGGCTCTCCTCCATTAGGGGTCAAAGCTCCGGAACCTAGCCTCGAACCCCAACCATTGGGGGTCAAAGATCCAGACCCAACTCTCGAATCCCACTTATAACTCGGAAAATGTTCATAACCGAAAAACTTCGCTCGATTATCCGGGAAAGGCGAAGAGGTTCCGGAAGTCGAAATTGCGGATCCCGGTGATTTAATATGACCACCTGGGCTTGCTGGATACTGATAAGGTTGGAACTCGTATTGGGAGAATGAATATTTCAAATTATTCCCGTTACTTCTCCGGCCTTTAGCTAGTGATGAAGACAAAAGCTGAGCAAAGGGTACTTCTGGGGAAGAAGGGGTTGTCATTTGGACAGGCTCGGGTGGTGGGGTGAAAGAAGCGGTGGATGGTTCGGTGGTGAAGGTGGAGAAGACTGGAGGTGAAACTAGTTGTGTCTCGTGGGCGTAGGGTCCCAATGGTGAAAATGGGTGGGGTGCCACCTGGCGAGTGGGAGTGGGCGGAGAGGGAGGCGAGGGAGAGTAAACCGGTGGCGGGGGATTGGGTGGAGGAGGAAGGGTCTGATTGGAGGAAGGAGGCGGGAGAAGAGGGAGGAGCTATGAAGGGGAGTGTAATGGTGGAGGAGTGATTTCGGTTTTCGGAGATCGGAGCTGTGATTCTTCCGGATGGAGATGGTTCCGAGATTAGGACAGCGTGGCCGATTCGTTTGCTGTGTTTATGAGAACCAAAACACCAGTATATGCTCCAACAGCTTCCCCATCTTCTTTTCTGCTTTTTTCATTTCCAAACAAATACAAGCAAAATTTTGATTATTACATCGAACGAATTACTTCTAGCTGCATATATGTTTCTATTGAAGTTAATGAGGCCAAACAATTTCTTGCAAAACACAAACTACAGTCATGGAAAATTAAACAATTACGACATTTAATTTCAGCTAATTCCTCTGTCGGTAGCAAGACTCAATGTTAGCCTAATAAATAGAAATCCTACTCATAGATTTTTCGGTATCTTTTCTTATATATTTATTTTGTTATATGCAATTTAGTTCAAGTACAGATCTTCCAGTTTGACATAGACAAAATACAAGGAATGAAGCATTGTTGTTTTCTCTAAACACATCCAAGTTCCAACCATTTATCCAGCAAAAGCAGGACATTATTAATTTATTATAACTTGTTCCGACTTTCCTTGACAAATTTTCCTGTGCTCCAAGAGCTCATAAACAGAAACCTTGGATCAACTCCAGTTACAAAAACCGTATTTTAATCGGAGTTGAAACAGTACACACATTACAAGTATTTAGACCTCATTTTCTCAAACTGTGGAAGGAAAATATGCAATCCGATATCTCTGATAAAAACGCATATATATTACGATATATATATACACAGTTCACTGTTCAAAGGCATATTAATAATATAAAAAGACCACTTCAAATTCAAAAGGTGTTCTTCTGAATTTGACTTTTAAAGTCAAATTTAGCTGCCACTATACTATTGGATTTGGGGAAATAAAACCATTTAATTTTTTTCAAGCTAAATTTCCCTCAATTGTAGCCAAATAAGATATTTATCCAGATTACAAATCTCTACTTCACAACTCAATGAGTCAACACAGCAACTTTTTTATGAGGTAGAACAAGCAAATAACTTTTCCAATACAAAATCTGTTGATTCAATCGTTTCATCTCATTTGATCTATTAGATAAAACTGTAAAAAGCAAAATTAAAAAATCGACATAAATTAGGAAAATTAACACCGAGAATCACACACCAAAAGACAAAATTGAGTTCGTATGGATACACGCACACCTACACACAGCTAAATAAGTATGTATGGAAAAACACACACACACACACCTCAACTGTAGATGGCTGAACTCTGCTTTCAGCAGTAACAATCGCAGTCGCAGCAGCATTTACAGTATCCACGCTGTTGTGTACGCTACTCATGGCGATTCTCAACCGTTTCTCAGATAAGGTGACGTCAGATCCCGGCGACGAACGTTGCTTGAC